GGGAGAAAAGTGCGTGTTATACGCCGATAAATACGAGAGAGAGATATATAGATATATATATATATATATTGCATTCATTATATATGTATACACACACACATTGCATTCATTATATATGTATACACACACACACATTGCATTCATTATATATGTATACACACACACACATTGCATTCATTATATATGTATACACACACACACATTGCATTCATTATATATGTATACACACACACACATTGCATTCATTATATATGTATACACACACACACTGCATTCATTCATTATATTATATACACACACCCTATACAAACACACACTGCATTCATTATATACACACACACTATACAAACACACACACTGCATTTATTATATACACACACACACTATACAAACACACACACTGCATTTATTATATATGCGCGCGCACTGCATTCCTTGCGCGCGCGCACTGCATTCCTTGCGCGCGCGCACTGCATTCCTTGCGCGCGCGCACTGCATTCTATATATATACACACACACACACACCATTCATTATATATACATACACACACACACACACACACACACCATTCATTATATACACACACACACCATTCATTATATACACACACCATTCATTATATACACACACCATTCATTATATACACACACCATTCATTATATATATATATATATATATATATATATATATATATACACACACACACACACACACACACACACACACACACACACTGCATTCATTATATATATGCACCACCATTCGTATATATACACACACAGCTGCATTCATTATATACATACACCTGCGCTGCATTCATTATATACATACACACACCGCTTCAGGAACAGTATTTACACCGCGCTGCATTCATTATATACATACACACACACACGCTGCATTCATTATATACATATATATATATATATATATATATATATATATATACGCACACAGCTCCCCTGTCTAAACACACTACCCCTGTCTAAGCACTACATGTTGCATGTATATTTTGTGCATTTACCTTTAGAAATGGTTTATTTTTTGAAAATGGTAAATGTACAGAATATCGGCAAGTTATCGGCTATCTGCCTGAAAGTTTACAGATTATCGGTATCGGCTTTAAAAAAAACCAATATTGGTCTATCCCTAATGTATTTAATTATGCATTTTTCTTTGCGGTTATATATATAAAAACAGTTTGCGATATCTGCAGTTCTCTTTTTGGCAGCCTTTGTAAGCCCTCCCCTTTAACCACACCCAGACATTCTGTGGCTGCCCAATCACAGACTTCCCAATGCAGCTCAATGAGAAGTCTTTGCAAGGCAGCTGTTCTGGGCCCTTGCGATTGATGTAGATTTATTTAGAAATAAACAAAAATGTTTAAAAGTCTATCTGTTCCTGTCCAAATCTGAGATGAATAAATTGCGTATACGCAGAAGTAAGTTTACACTGACACATGCAGTTCAGGTTAAAAACACTTCAGGAAATTTATTAGCATCTAGTTAAAAAGCGGGCACGCAGGCCTTTTTATATGCAAAATGACATCATCATTGAATATCAGATAACAAATAAACATCATTAATTGGGTTAAATGTTAAGTGGCTATGTCAGTGTCCACCCATTAATATTATTAATTGGCTCAGAGATTTGAGTGACTAGTGAGGCACCCTCCCATCATGGGATGTCGTCGCCATTGCTCTTTAGCACGAGGCTTACTCGGTGGAAAGGGGGGCTTGGGCGTCATTTTACGTAGTTAGTGATGTCAGTCTCGTGGTCTGTTCCAAGGTTCTTTTATGAATAGAACATTTCATTTTGTCGCTGTTCTCCTGGCCTTGGATTATACTATGTTGCAAGTCAACGGAGATCCGCTAACTCCGGGGCTAGTTATGTCCTTAGAGAGAGAAAATACAATCTCTTATTCATTATACTGAATACTGTCAGGAAATTCTGTCATGTAAGGTGAACAAAATGGAGAATTCTGTCATAGTGTGAGATTAAAATGGAGTTAGTACAATAATTCAATACAGGTTCTAATAAAGATTTTAATAATTCTACATCACTGTCTCTTGGGTTTAGCTCCACTGAGCTAAACAAACCAGTAACTAACAGGACCTGTTGTCTGCTTGTAAGCCAAGGGGGCGGAACCAAGTTAATTTTATAAAAGTGCCCATTTCTGTTGGAATCTGCACTTTTTGCAAAATGAAAAAAGAGGACACAGTCTTCACACATAAAGCTTTTCAGCAAGCTAAAGTGCTTTATGGATCTGCAGTGTCCATTTAACTGTAAACCACTAAGCTAAACACTCTCCAGGGTGCATTTTGCAACCATTTTAATGCGTTCTAGTGAAAATGTTTTATACATGTAAATAAAAATGTACTTCCCCCCCAAAACCTCCCTCACCAGACTTTCCAACCAGTAGATGATCTTCTCATAGCCTTCAAAGAAAAAAGCTTTGTGTTCAGGTAAACTTCTGAGTGTAGCATCACACACAGACAAATGGTACTACTGGGGAAGCTCTTGGTCTGTGGAAAAAATGTCAACTGCTGTGAATACATTTATTCAAATCATACAACTCTCTCATTGGAGATACTCGTCCTGTAAATAGGAGACAATGGGGACTTCACTCTTCATTGCACAAAAAACCCACGATTCGTTCTTTGCGAGATGTTCTATCTCATACATTGTTTCATCTTTGTCGCTTGGAGAGGCCCTTTAACTGTAATTAAAAACATTTATAAATTTTGGTTTATGACTTTTAGTGATAAGTCTACACATACAGGGTTATTCAGTGTGAAATGTCAAATTGGGGAAATTCAGCTATGTTTTTACTTCAGCTATTTTGGCATAAAATTAGAATTTCACTCTAAATTCACTGTGAATTCCTGGAAACTCATTATTTAGTGAATAATTCTGTCTGCATACCAGAGGTAATCCCCTCTTACTGATTCCCGATTAGTTGTAAAATGATTAACAAAGAAAAAAAATAAAGTGTACATAGTCATATTTCTTTAGGAGAAAATACCCCAGTCCCTGTGTTTGTGTGTATATATATATATGTATGTGTGTATATATGTGTGTGTATATATATATAATTTATATAATACATTTTCATATTTATGTTAATTATAGGAAATTCTAACATCTCAGCATTACAACCTTCTGTAAGGCACAAACAGGACATTTCAAGCAAATTAAAGTTTTTAATGTTTACGCAAACCTTAATATCTCCGCTCAGGATGGTCCTAGTTTACTAACAGCTGATCTGTAGAGAATCCAAGGTGCTTGTACATATATTAACATTCTTGTTTTTTAGACTTAGAACTTAAGTCCTAATGTAGTGCTAAAGATTGCTGAATATTTATAATGTGAAGGGTTTAAGTCTTTTATTTTTTATTTTCGGGTGGGGTGTTACCTATGCATAGTGTGCATACAGAACATTTCAGGCTTAAGATGGGTCTTATTTTTATTCTATGAGGGCGAGAGAGACACAGTTTTTTTTTTTTTACATTTTCCCTTAATTTTGAGTTAAATATCACTGGTAGGTGACCAGAGCAAAAACCTACATTTTCCCAGATATAAGTCTAATATGGTAATATTCTGCTGGGGAAAAAAAAAATACTTTGAGATTCCACCGGCTACAGAATTATGTCTAGTAGACTTTTGGAGAAAAGCTTCTTTTATTCATATGTTTTTGAGAAATGAGCAGATGTCATATAAGCATATAACAATTATTAAAAATGAACAGTAATTAGGTTTATTATTGACACACCAGAATTTTAAATTCCATATTTGGCTAAAAACTATTCAGGCATCACTTTCATCTAACACACTTCAGCTCCTGGCATTTAACTTGCAGTAATGCAACCAACACACCGACAAGCTGTGTTCACCGGTTTGCTGGATTGGGCACAGCTGCACATGCAGAGAAAAGTCTTCCTGTCTGTTGCCAATATTAAAAATATAGTTGCGTTTTGGACCTCAATGACAAATATAAGATATCTTATGTCAGCTACACCTCTGTCGACAAACACACAGGACATGGAAACCTACTCAATTGTAGAGTAGAAGAGGATTCTGGAATGTTACTTTGCATGATATCCCTTGTCTATGCCCTTATTCACGGTTAGTGCCAGACAGTAGCATTGTTGATCACAATATATATAAAACACGTCAAGCGTACAAATGGATGAAATTTACTTTTTGTGGCCTGGACTCAGAATGACAGGTCATCGTAAATGCCAGAAGTATGAGACAATTCTGTGGTTTGCCATATATCTCATGATTGCAGGGTGATATGCATTCTGTACCCAGTGAACCCCCCTAAATGCTGGGAGTGCAGCATTGGCCCTTCTGTTCCACAACACATCTCTCAGTTTGTACATGAGCTTTCTGAAATATGCAACTCTGAACTGGATAACGCAGCGGGTACTTGAGCCTGCCCTGCGTGCCAGAGTTATAATTGCCGACAGAGCATTCCAACGGGTGGATCGCTGCAAATGCTTACATGGCTTTGTGTGGTGCTGGACATGTGGGCTTCTGTTTACCCAATTTAGGAGGAAGCTGTTGTAATGTGTCTCTAGCTGTTAACAGCACATGCTGTGACATTTACAGCAGCACCGGCTGCATATATGAATTTCAAGTGTGACACTTGCACAGCAAGGTGGGTGGCTTGGAACTGACAGGCTGAACAGAGCGATTTACACAGAGAAAGCATGTGTTGTCTTTCTATAGCTTTTATCTGGGTTTGTGTCTTTTTTTTTTGTTTGTTTTTCTGAGCTATCTCCTGAAAGCTTGTCATTCCAAAATTCTGCTACTCATATAAAAAGGTATTCCAAAATAATATTTGTATCTTCTACTTTACCCATCTATTGAATTCACATGTGCTATTTAAGAAGAAGTCCAATAATATTTCTTTCTTTTTTAAATTGTTCATATAATTATACAGTGAGATTGTGTTTCCCTAAAAAAACAGAAAACAAGGGTTATGTATCAAACTGGCAATTGCAAATGAAATAATCAACTTTCTTCAACCCTGTTTTTTGAGTTTTGTCCTGAAATTTGCGGTTTCCTTCTGATACATTGGCCGGTTTAATCAGAAAAGTGAGAATCAGGATTTCAAAGGGCATTTCAAATCTATGGCCAAAATAAATATTCCAAGTCATCTATGCTTCAATTTCATCTATTTTGGCCTTATATTTGATATTTGCTATGATTTTCCTACAGTTCTTTCTCTAGTGAATAGCCCTGTTAGTGTTGGGATTAAAATATTAAAATTGTTGTATTTCACTTGTTCTGGATTATATTTTCATGTGATGTACAACACCAGCTTTGTAATCCGTTGGCTCCCAGATCAATGCAGTTGTATATTGTGACCAGTTTTTATGGATGTTACTTGAAATGCAACATACAGGAGGTTTGTGTACAGTGGATAATGCTATAGACTGGAGGAACACTTTTTTTTTTACTGGTCGTATCGAATAAGGATACTTCATCGGAATTAAGTTGTTATGGTAGCTGGAGTTCGCTTTCACCGACATACCTTCAGGATTATAAATCTTTAATGAAAGGTTTAACCCCCAAAGTCTACAGTGCTTTGTAGTCCAAGGCTTCAATATGGAAGCCAAGGACAGGGGTGCTGCGTAGTAGCTGCTCATTCACTAAACAGCGTGATACAAATATGTTCTCTACATATCAGCGTTGCCCCAGTGTAAGGCTCCCTGATTGAAGTGTTTGACTGCAAAGGATGTTCGGGAGCAGAGCTGCTGGACGAAACATTTTGTGGTTGCTGTTTAACCCCTGACGCTATGCTGGTGCTCTGGTCCTCCTAGCACCATAACAACTTAATTCAGATGAAGTTATGGTATCCGGAGTGTCCCTTTAATAAGATGTGGTTGTTGGTTAATGTATAAAAGGACATTTTACTTTCACAGCATTTAACCCTTTATCGTTCCACGGTTTGCTAACGATAGATTCACAGCCAGTCTGTTAAACACACACAGTACTGTGATTTTAATGCATCATTCTTATACACTGTGTACGCTCTGTTTCTAAAACATTAGCATGTCTCACTGCATTATCAGTGACTTCTCATGATCCAGCATTTTTCAGATCATAGCATGAAATAGGACAAATAATACACAGCTCAGGATTTACAGTCTTGTTTTTTGTTTTTTTGTGTATTTACCAACTCCAAGTGCTTTCATCTTTTAACATTTGCAATCTGTATTCGTGTTCCAGCAGTTTGGGTTCTGGTCTGGTCACCTTAGTGAGAACACTGAGTTTTATCATAGAATAATTGGCATAGACCAGCTGTTTATTGCACGAGGTATTAGTGCTGCACTGTAAGGGTGCTTTGTATCATCTGGTGACTCTTCCTGACTGTTCTGCTTTTATTAATGCATTGTCCCATTCGAACGGTTGTTTTAGGCTTTGGAGGGCAGCAGAGAGCTTGGACATCTCACAGGATTTGGAAATTCATCAAACGACCTGAAAGCTGAGCTGCAGAAAACAAAAGTTCTGAGTAAGTGGATCTGTCCCCATTCTTCTAAGGTTGACATTACTCAAACCAGTAAATACATTAGGTCCCAGGCTTCTCCTGAGAGCCTGACAAAAACAGGGTCCTTAACCCTTCCAGGTAGGTCACTCACCTCTTACAGGAGCAGGGTCCTTAACCCTTTCAGGTAAGTCACTCACCTCTTACAGGAGCAGGGTCCTTAACCCTTCCAGGTGAGTTACTCAACTCCTACTGGAGCAGGGTCCTTAACCCTTCCAGGTAAGTTACTCAACTCCTACATGAGCAGGGTCCTTAACCCTTCCAGGTGAGTTACTCAACTCCTACAGGAGCAGGGTCCTTAACCTTCCAGGTGAGTTACTCAACTCCTACAGGAGCAGGGTCCTTAACCCTTCCAGGTGAGTTACTCAACTGTTACCCACCTCTTAGAACTGTAACACATGGAGTGGCCCTTGAGTAAATGATCCTAATTATTGTTGTGGCACATTACAGGAAATCTATAATCACAGCTCTGTATAATCCCATTTCAATTAAAATGTAATTGTGTGTAAGTTGTATTTTTTTGTTTTGTATTGTTTTTACCCATAGTTAAAACGTTTTGAAAATATAGTTTTTCCTTACAGACGGTGGGGGGGAACATTTTCTGTGAGCACTTTTAGCAATGTTTCCCTTAGCTAGTACTCAGGAAGTGCTCTGTATAGTATGTGCAAGAAAATGGCTTCCCCGGACAGTTGGAAAACAGCAGTGTGGTTCTACATCAATTCATTTTTTTTTTTAAATTAAATAAGCTTTATTAACTAAATAAGTTATTCAGTGATCTAAAAATCTGAATATTTCTCTGTGCATTTCAGCAATGTTTAATTTGCCAAACATTTGCTTCAATTTCATTTTCAGGTACTGATTTATAGTTTAAGTAAGAGTTGCCAATGAGTGTCAATGCTTCTAAGCTTTGCAGCTTACCTTCAGCATAGAGAAAGTATTCAGGGAAGCGAAGAAGAAATGTTTGTTTTTGCTCATTCGCATTGTATGCCCTGGCCGTGCCAGGATATTTCATCATTTAGTACATTTTTATTCTAACATAAAAAAGGTTACCACAAATGCTAGGTGATTCCCACTGTTTAATTCAGTTGTGTTCTTGCCAGAGAAGTGATGGCACTCATTTTAAGCCTGGTTTTAGTTCAATAAATCTTCTGTAGCATTACAAATAAAAAGTTAAAAATGTTTTTGGAAAGTGATTCCACAATAAAAGATTTCAGCTGAAAGGCCAAAAATAATATTCGTTTATATGCAGATGCTTGATTGTAATTTATTATAATTGCACCCATTTTCTTTACATTTCAGACTTACACCTTTTATAAAATGCTTCCCAAACGCATTTTTCTTCTCCCCACAAATGTTATAATTTTATAATGTTTTGTTAGTCTACCTCCAGAATAGAAGTTTGCTAATACTTTTCAGAATGAATGGAACGTTAACACAAAGGCCTTTCTAAATACTCTATAAGGCTGTGTCATGTCTGTTTCTATGTGATACTCCACAGTGCAGGAGAGCGCAAGAAAACTTGTCAATGTGTCACATTGATAGTTTGTCCTCAGTGTATTTAGAAGTTTCTCTCGTAACTTGTAAATGCCCATTACAGAATAGTTTCTGGACAACTGTGAATAGGATCATGAACTTTCACTTTTCTTAATATTACATCATTGAATAGAACTTAGAAAATCACCTGTTAATGCTTTTTCATGTGACGCTCTGTTTTCTTTTAAACTCATATTAAAGATTTAGCAAATCCCGATCATTCCATGCCCAGCCTCTGTGCTGACTGTCCGCTGCTGCGCTTTCAAAAGGACACCGCTTATAACTATGATTTCATTTTATTTTTTACACCTCACAAATGCCTATTTGTTAAATATAAAATTATATAAATATTAAAATTCCGGGTACAAGTTCTGCCAAAATCCTTACAAATGAGCGGTTATTCAACTTTTTTGTTTGACTGTTTAATAAATAAATCTTCTCTCCTCTGTGGCTAGTGATGGATATAGGTATTAAAAAAAAAAAAAAAATATGCTTGTGTGAGAGAAAAATCTTAGTGCAACATGTGTTGTGCACCTCCGAGTCCCTTTGTTATGCAGGTGTTAGATCAGGGATGCCCAAAAGGTAGATCCTCAGATGTTGTAGAACTAGAACTCCCATAATGCTCTGCATGTTTTTAGAATGACAAAGCATCATGGAAGCTGCAGTTTGAAAACATCTGGGGATCTACTTATTGGGCACCCCTGTGTTAGAGGATCACATCCAAATAACGAACATGTTGTTCAGTGTGACCGCTGACCTGTGTGGGAAAATTCTTTGGGTTGCCCTATTCTTGATAAAGTGAAGAGGCAATTAGGTGCAAGACTAGTTGGTCCATAGGTGATAAAATGGACAGAGAAGTCACAGATGGGCTTCTTTTGTACAATATGATTCACCTAAGCACCATACACAAGGAATCAGCTGATGTCTTTAGTCGGGGCGCTCTTTGAAATGACATGACCATATAATCTGTACCTGCTTATTCCCAATATATGCTCCAATAGCTGACATGGATAATTTTGGATATACATTTTGCAGTATAGTTGTCAGGCAGCACACACCACAGTTTAGAGAATAAGCCCCTATGAATGCAATGATTTTGTTGATTTCATTCACCCATTGACTCAAACCCCAGAACTGACCTGACATTTTCTATTCTTTTCTAGTATCTGAAGCAAGAAAAAAGAAGCAAAAGATTTGTTAAAGGTAACAATGACAGTGATTTCGGCTTGTTAACTTTAATGTATTTTGGAGGGGGAAAGCTAATTCTTTCAATTGGACCTCTACCTTAATTAAGCAGGAGGCTGTGAAAAGAGAACATGGAATTTTGAGCTACCTACGTCACATGTGGTTATAACTAGCCCCTGGCACACAAGCAGAAATACTGCACATATAGATTCCCACCACCATGACCACTTCTAATCACACAAGAATAGAGGCAGCTGGAAAAATTATAAAGCTCACAGGGGTGACATCGCATTAAATGGCGGATCTCTTTGGAATCCAATGGGTGATACTTTTTGAGCCTCTTCCCTGTAGAATTGTTAGGAAATCGCTTGCCCTGGTGGAGCGAAGGACTCACAGGGTTGTTCACTAAAATGAGAATTCAAAGTGAATTTCAAATTTAAGGTCAATATAGCTGAATTGGAAAACATTTTCCAAGCCAGCAATGCTTCTGGTTCAGCTATTTTGCCCTTAAATGTGAAACTTGGAATACTCACTTGTATTGTGTACCACAGTAAGATAAAGGCTTGTTAGGTTTCTTTGAGAATTGTTACATTAGTGCTAAAGCATGTAGCAGTTGGAAACACTGTCCGGCTTATTCACCAAATTAGAAATTCACTGGCAGGGTTATTTACTAAAACCAAAACTGCTAGGAGTTCACAAATTACACCTAAATAGCAAACTTCTTAAAGTCAATTCTGCCTCCTGCTGTTTGGCTTTAAATTTAGAATTCACTTTGAATTATTGGCAATTCTCACTTCAACTAATCACCCTGTAGCAAAGTTCTATTTCTAGGCTAAAATTGCTGAAATTGAACATTTCCTGCCTCCTCACAGTTTGGTGAATAACAGTGTATGTAAAAAAAAAAATAGATTTATTAAATAATATACATGTCCACGAAGAGGGCCACAATGTCCGTGTTTACAGATGGTAAAATACACTCCATTTTCCTAAGCTGCTAATCGTTAAGGTTGCTGGTGCTGAAAACGTTTTAACAGACAGAATGCTCCCTGATATGTAACACTTAGAATGTTAAAAAAAAAAAAAATGGACCTCACAGGCTTCCTTTATACGTCATGCATGGGTCTATATACTGTACCTTAAACACCAAATTGTAACTTGTCTTTCCCTCCCCACCCCCCAATCCCAAAATCAGCACTTTTTAGTTACATTTTGTGATTTGGATTTTAGTTCCATACAGTTTGGTGTTTAGTGTATTAACCCCTTGGTCTCTGGTAAGGAGCTTTGACAGTATTTTAGTGAAGTGCTTTTAATATGACTTTAAGCAGCAGCAGCATACCATAGTATGACTTCCTTTAATTACTTTTAGTTTGTATGTGTCTTGTTCATTGTATCCTTGCAGATAACTAGTATCAGTGGTGATTGTGAGGTTTTCTCTTGCCCTGTTTAACTATGTAAACTTTACCTACCGTGCTTTGCCCTGTCTCAAGGTGTTGTGCCTGCAGAGATTGGGCTTGAAAAGCTCTGTTCTGGCTTCCTGCTGTGACAATCAATTCTCTTGTGTTTCAGGTCACTGCTACTTCCTGCATAAGCTCTGCACATGTTGAGAAAGGTTTTCATTGAGCTAAACCCGTATGCGCATTACAGGGGCTGCAAGGAACTGCTCGGGAATGTGTGATTTACCAGCAGTTTAGATGGAGTTATATCCTGCTTCGAAGACAAGTGCACAGCATCCATCACGGCCCTTCGCTGGCTTAACCTTGCCCAGAGAAGTGGCAGACAGAAGTATTTAGTATCAGATCCCTTTGTCAGCAGTGGAGGGCAGCCACGGGCTTGTTGTACAAAACTTATGGAAAAGAAATTTGGAGACAACTGGGAACTTCTGTTGATTCCAGCACTTTAACACAAAATTCAATATTTATTTCCGCTGGCTAGATTTTCAAAAGGCAAAATTTATGTCTCTTGTTTTGTTGGGGAATGAGTGATTCTTGGGGCCAATTTTAGCTGCACATTGCAAAACATTTCATGTCCAATAATCCACTGCTGTGAGTCCAGCACCTTAAAATTACATAATAAATTCACATTACTAAACAATTAATTATCCGTGATTTCAGCCAGGCTAAGTAGGGAGACATGCTGAGCAATTAAATAGGAACTTTCTGTCTAGATTATTTTTAGTGTATGTATCCCAGTGCACATTGTCCATGTGTATATTTATCATACCAAGCACAAGTTATTGTAAATTCAGACTGGCTTTTAACTGCAAAGGTTTGTTTTCGCAATGTTAGGGTATTTTTTTTTTTTTTCTTCATTTATTTTTTTTAATCTGTTTGCATATTTACGATATATAAAATAATTGAAAATTGTCGGTTATTTTGAGGACTGTTAGAGGATACTTATCAGTGTTTTAAAAGTTATTAAATCCTCCCATTATTTTGATCATGTTTATTAAATTGATCTAAAAAGTGCCAGTTTTCTTTATGGTAAATTGTGCCGGTTTCAATAGAAACTCCCATTTCAGAACGCTGCAAAATCTTGGGGAAAATAAGTGAAATGGAATCTTTTTTTTTTTTTTTGTCTAAAATTTGGTGGGAAAATTGATAAATCTGTTTTGTTGCCGAAAAAATAGTGTACGTTCAAAAATGACTGTTAGGGTGCAAATGAAGCAACAGATGAGAACATCTGACAGTTAATACTTATGCAAAAATTTTTGAAAATTAGCCTTTAACGTGTCAGATACATTTTGAAAAGCTCTTCCCCATTGTGCTTCTTAAATGTTCATGCTTTCTTTATGGTGATTTATGTATTCCTATGATTTCTGTAGTTCCTGCAAGTTTTGTTCCATTGGGAAGCTTAGGCCACGTTGGTTTTAAAAGGGAATTGTTACTTTAAAGGATTGGTAATGTTATTATATACAGTGGGACCTCGGTTTACGAATTTAATGCGTTCTCCGGGACGTTTCTTATTGCGAACAATTTGTAAACCAAGACGCGGTTTCCCATAGGAATGCATTGAAAACCAATTAATCCGTTCTGGAGGTCGGAAAAAAAGTCAAAATGAGCTGGCATGGAAACCAACCCACAATGCAGAACACACAATAAAATGCATGCAAACGATGAAGCTCAGCTCCCTACCTTTCCACAGCTTGAGAAATGCACCAAAAAGTCCCAAAACAACTGCAAACAATTTCCAGAATGGCTCCAAACGTCACTCCAACACCTCCACACTCGACGCCACATTCTATCCACAGGCTCCAGCATGCAGGGGGCGGTGCTATAAACCTCCCAGGTGCAATGCATCCTGGGGAAACTTGCTTTGTATTGCGAAAAAAATTTGTAAACCGAGGCATTATTTTCAATGGATTTTCATTTGTAAACCGAAAATTATGTTTACCGAGGCGTTTGTAAACCGAGGTCTCACTGTATTTATGAAAAATAAAATTTGATGTAGAAATGTACACTTTATCCTGAAACTGGCTCCATCGTAGCCATGCCAGATCTGATTGTAAAGTAATTAATTTGAATATTTAAAGGAAAATAGGGCATCACATGAGAAAAAAAAGTTAGTGCAAAATTAATGTTTTACTAAATGCTGTAATTCCTGGTATGTGGTTTGTAAAATAAAAAAAGTAGCTAGATATTTAGGTCAGTATTTCTGATTCTAAGTTTTCACTGGGACCAAATATCACCTTTTGTAAAATAAATGCTAGCCTTATTTCTTTATATTACTTTATAATGTTTTACCGAACCAAGTACCATATATTTATTACTGTCCTCAAATGTACTTTTATATACTATATCCAAAATATTTTATTCATCAAAGACTTGTCCTGTGATTTTACTTTTTTTCCTAATTAAATTCTTTCTCCTCGTTTGGTAATATGTTATTGTTTTAAATGATTAATGTTAATATTACTGAATTTTTTTTTAAACCTTAATTCCATCGCAGATGGTCTGGAGTCCCATGCCATTGTACTTCAATTCAGTATTAAACAGTTTATACTGTTTTCGTGCTAAACAGTTTCTGGGAGCTCATCCCTTCTGTGCTTCTTGGGCGAATGAGGTGGCATTAGCCTGGGCAGCTGTGATTGGCTGATAGTGCCAACCTATTATAGTGCACATTGCAGGAATGTACCAGTATGACTTGAACGAAGTTTGTAATCTCTGCCTTAGTAATACCTAAAGTAGAGGCGGGCTGTGAGTGGCTAGGAACCCTTATTCAGTGTTTAAACTTCTCAAAAATGGTTTAACACTGAATGGAGGGTCTGCGCCAGGGGACTCTGAACACTATAACCAATTCATTAAGATGAAATGGTGATAGTGCCTACAGTGTCCCTTTAAGTTTAATATTTTCTTTTTAGTAATTTTGTATTGCTTGTATTATGTTTATCTTGTGATACAACTTTTCATTTCCTGTGGTAAACCTAGAATTT